TAGGCTTGACCCATGGAATTCTCTTGTAAACTGACAGCCATGAGAAAACCCACTCTGGCCGTGGAGCCCTTCTCCTGGAAATAGGGCAACGCTTCTTGCCCTTTCTCACAGTCCTCTTGGCTGCAGGGAAACAAGAATGCTCTTTGTCAAGGCATACCCAGGAGGAGGATTTTAAAACTCAATTTTCTCATGGTGTATTCAAATAAAAAGGAATGAAGATAATTTAATTTGAAATATGTCCAAGTGTTTCTTGTATCATCCCTGTGCTGTGGTATGTTTCTAAAGCAAATAAGATAGTAAGAAATCAAATATGAAGGCATTCAGCTGAGGGTTTCATGTCCTAAAAAAATGGGCATTTATAGAGCTTACCATAGCTTATCTGTTATCTCTTCTGAAATAAAATGCTTCATGGCATGGTTTTCTGACAAAGACACAGAAGCAGAGATGACTACCAGATCATATTCATAACCTCAACCTATCTCAACGTATCACATAGCATTTCTTTAGTAGTCCTGCTACTTAGCTTCTTTCTAGACACAGTAAATGAATCATGAATTGAAGGAGATCTTAGCTGCAGAAAGAGGACCTGGGTTACCATCCACACAGACTAAGCCTGCAGGACCCTGCATTGGAATCTGTAAAGTAAGGGTGTTCAGTGTCCTGAAGTCATCCCACCCAGGATACTTCATAGGAGGCGGTGCTTCCTCAGAACCTGGCCCAGCAACTTTCTGCTTCTCTTGGCTCTGATCCAATGTGGTACTCTAGTTGCAGGCAGCACATAGTATAGGCACGCAGTGAAGCTGATTCATTGAAGATTATGTGAAGTTTCTAATTTCGATTAGTTTTTAGTTAAGGCTTTATTAGTAGATTATCTGTATAAAATGCTTTTTGTTTATTTTTCACTTCAACCCATATAGTCACCAGGTAAACTCTCTACAGCCAGTATTGGTCTAATTCTAGTTACTGCACGCTATTTTTAAAGGAACATGAAGTATTGTACATTTTCCTGAATGTAACTTCCACGCTATTCACATATTAATGAGGCTAAAATAACAGGCTGTGTATTCAGACTACCTAAGATCTAATCCTACATCTGTTACTAATTGTAACAGTTAGTATAATGTGAAATTGATGAGAGAACTTTCTGATAAGGGAAAGTTATTTTGTCTAACTGTGCTTCTTTCCTCTATTGTAATAAATGGGAATAAAAATTACAATACCTACTGATAGATAGAAAACACTCAGTAGACGTGATTATATGTAGTAGAAGCTATCAAATGTGTAGGACTGAAATTTAACTGCTACACACATGTAAAAAAAATTCCATTGTTACAATGAATGTGAATGATCTTTGGGCTTTGGAGTAAATGTAATTTGGCTTGATACAAAGATATTACATTCATAATTATAAAGTAGTAGAATGGACTAGAAAAAAAATTTTTAACTTCTATGCAGAAATTTATACATAAAAAGGACTGTTGACCCTCAAAGTTGTCCACTTATGAGACATTCCTGTACATTTATTCAAATTCTACTATTGTTGCTGAAAATGATTTTGGTGGTTCTGTTTAGGAAAGGCCAACAGAGACAATTTATAGGCTACAGGCAAAAATTAATCAAATCCATTTTTGTTTCCCATCACATCTGACATTGATTTGTGACTATTCTCCTAAATCATATTTGGCTTTAAAAAATTGTTAACAGTAATAGAAATCTAGAGAATAAATAACTGACCTTGAAAGCAATCATATTTAGCCTTAAACAGAATTGTTAACACTAATAGAAGTCCAAAGAATAAATAGATGACCCTGAAAGCAATCATTTTTAGCCCTAAACAGAACTGCTAACACTATTAGAAGTCCAAAGAATGAATAACTGACCCTGGAAGAAATGAACACATTTATTCCTCACTCATTCATTTGTACATATTTATTTCAATGCACTACTAAGGTTGATTTTACAACAGCAAGCCCACTGGTTTAAGTCAATTATTTCTTCCAGTGATTGTTTCAGTGAGATTGCATATACATTCCTGCATGTGTTTAATTAAATAAAAGCAATTCAAATTAGTTTATAGATACACCTCTGACTTGAAAGGATCCACAGAGATGCCACTGCAGAGAGTGTCACAGGAAAATCGTGGTAAGCATACTTTGTTTTTAGTAAAAGTGATGCCCTTGATGTTGGTGAAGTAGACAAATAAGTTTGTTATCACAGTGAAATGTTTTAGATCCCTGTAGTATTAGTTCTTAGGAATGCCGTGACAAAGGATCACAAACTGGGTAGCTTAAACCAACAGAAATTTATTGTCTTACAGTTCTGGAAGCAAGAAACCCAACATCAAGGTGTTGGCAGGGCCTTGCTTTGCTTCCTCTGAAGGCTCTGGGGAAGGAGGCTTCTTTACCTCTTCATGCCTTCTTGTGGCTTCCACCAATTCTTATTATTTCTTCGCTTGGAGATGCATCACTCCAATCTCTGCCTCCATTTCCATAGCATTCTACCTATATGTCTGTGTCCATTTCCGTTTTCTTCTCATAAGGACACCAAGTCATATTCAATTAAGGTCTCACCCTACTCTAGTATGACCTCACCTTACCTTCATTTCATCTGCAAAGACCCTATTTCCAATTAAAGTCACATTCACAGATACCAGAGGTGAAGATTTCAGCATAAATTTTTGGGCAATGCCATTCAACTCAGCACTTTATGAGTCAACTTATTCAGGCTATAGGCTCCAGTTATTCAATCAAAACTAATATAGATGTTGCTGTGAAGGTAGGTGTTGTTAAAGTCTATGACAATTTGGTTTGTGTAAGAAGGATTATCCTAGATAATCTGTGTTGGCCTGATTCAAGCAATTGAGCAGAACTTGGGCTTCCTTGTGGAAGAGATTCTACTTGTGGACAGCAGTGTCAGCCCCTGCTCGAGAGTTTCTGCCTGCCCTTCCTGAAGGCGTGCTGTACAGATTTCAGACTTTTGTAGCCAGCTGCCACAATCTTTGTAAGCCAATTCTTTGCAATAAATCAATATATATCCATATATATTTACGTTATTTCTAAATATATATTTCATTAAAAATATAGAATGTGAATTTATTATATATTCGTATTAACTATGTATATTGATTACTAGTTCTGTTTCTCTGGTGGAACCCTAAATGATACAATACTTAAAGCAGCAATATACTTCTTGACGTCAAGACTTTCTCATTTAGAAATCATTTGCTGACACCTGCACTATTGCTTCCAGCAAGGTCTAGGGACTATGTACATGTGCTCTGGAGCTAGGCAGCCTGGGCTCAAAGCCTGGCTCCACTGCTTACTGTTTCTGTCACCTTACGCAACGTAACATAACTTCTCATTGCCTCAGTTTCTATATCTGTATGAGGGTGCATAATAATATTTTATAGAGCAAATAACACTCATTAATTCTTAAGGCAATTAATGCCTGTTATTACTTATTATAGAACCAATAGCGTGTTGCAGCCAACTCATACTGGCTTAGGAAAGCCAATTGTGATCATCCCTTCTTTGACACTACATTGAGCTTTCAAGAACTTTGGTAGCCTGAACATGGCTATGGTGGGAATATTTACACTATGGAAATTGGCAAGCACTGCAAGTCAAGGCTGCTTCTTTTTTTCTTTTTTCAACTCTACTACCAGCATAACATTGTTTATACTAGTGTCTGATACAAAGTTAGCTCTCTGTAAATAGTAGTGATTATAATAGGTAAATTGCAATAGGAAAAAAATAAATGAGTAAGATTCATTCTTACCTTCAAAAAGAGTGAATAGTACTAGTCCATATGGCCCCTTTGTACCCTATAGAAGAAGGGATCCTTCCTTCAAGACATTTCACTAATATATGATAGAAAATCATAGTAATTAAATCCATATTATGAATGGCGGCACTTAGAGTTATGTAATGCATAACCTAGACAACTAACTACATTTAGTATTCCTACAAGAAGCTACACCCACAATGACTATTTCATTTTCCATCCTGTTTTAAAGGTGATTTTTTCCACTTAGTAACTATGGGAGCTGTTCCCCTATTTTCATTTAATCCTCAAATATAATGTCACTCTTGTGAATAAATTGCTTGAAAATGTATTTCTTATAAAATAAAATAATTTCGAATCCAGGACATATTGAAACATCTTTTCAGTGGTGAAAAGGATGTCAGCAAGAGGATCTGAAAAGAGAAATAAAGAGTCACTGGAAACACACGCTGAAGGGAAGGGCATATATTTGTAAAATCGCTTGAGTAAAATTGGATAATGCACAAGAAAAAAAAAAAAAAAAAAAAAAAAAAAAAAAAAAAAAAAAAAAAAAAAAAAAAAAAAAAAAAAAAAAAAAAAAAAAAAAAAAAAAACCCGACAACAATGAGGAATTCAACAGTGAAGGGCTGGTGGAATGTTCTGAGAATAATTCGTCCTTGCTGATGCCCCCCAGTTTGTATTAAGATGCCCAGCAGTTCACCCTTCAGTCTGAGTCAGGCCAGCTACACAGGCTGCAAAGTTTCTTAGGCCCTCGATGACCATCCTGCACAGGCACCGTGAACACAGCCTCCCTGGTACATTCTTAGCGCACTCACAGAAACTGCTGCTTCCCAAGTCTTTCAGATGTGAAATGAAACCCCAAGGGCTGCATTAACAAGGGGCAAAAACACATGCAACCAAAGCCAGCAGTAACGGCGAAACATCCCGGATTCCCATGAGAAACTCTCTGGATCTAGTTCCTCTACGTCACATGAGTGTGCAAACAGGAGACTACAAGAGTTTAAAAATACTGGGACTGCTGGAGATTTCCCTGGCCATATATAGTTCACTTGTTTCACAGTAAGTTCAAAAGAGACAAAGGGAGAGGGAGGGAGGAAAGAAGGCAACGGGCAATCCGCTTGAGTGAGTTGGGAACCTGAGCACAATACTGTGCCACCTTCCACCCCCCAGCCCCACGCCTGCCGGCCCGGACTCCCACCCCCAGCCCCCAGGGCTGTCTTGAGTTTGTTTTCTCCCAAGGAAGCTGCAGCCGAGGTACTCCTCCGCCATCCCTGGACATCTGCTTGGCTTGTCTATTTTCTGCTACAGGCAGAGGACAGGAAGGAAGAGTTTGTTTCCTGTAAATAGAGGGAGAGAAAATTACAGCTATTATTGTTTTGACAACGGAAGCCCTCCCTGAAACTTGTACCACGGTTCTTTCCTGACAGGCAGCAGGTCTGAGTTGCCGACTCTCGGCAGAAATTCCTCCCAAGGGGTCCCCGAGGAAAGCTGAAAGCCTTGATGGCTTTGCATTAGATGTCTAATGGCATAAGATGTAATTCTGGGCAATCTTGATATTGGGCTGTGGAAATGGAATGCAGCCTGTGTTTTGATGAATGTTTTGATACAAGCCTCTCCTACCCCAAGTGAGCATGCTGGATCCTGACCCTTAAGCACACACGCAGGTTTATGCAAACACACCCAGGGTGGAAAATGCCTGGATATGGCAAATTATTTATGCTTATCTTTTCAAATTCTCTCCGTTCCCTGCTCTCCCAAACTTTATTTCTTTTGAAGATTCCTTGACTGTTTAAACTGAATAGAGATACACGCATATCCAGTGCAACGCTACAAAATGACCACTATATACGGGGTGTCCTACCTTCTTCTTTCAACATTTGATGTGTTCACACGTTGTTGGAAATGTATTTGACCATGATCCTCAGACATAAATTTGTTATTTTTATATGTTTTAATTCATCTTTTACCTGATTGGTATTGGATACCTAAAAAGAAAGGAGGCAAGGAGCTAACTACCACTTTTGGGTTAGGAAACAGAAAAATCTATTAATTCTGTGTCCACTTACTAAGGGGAATGAGATTTGTTACTCCAAGGGATGATTATCTCCTACTGGTAGGAGAAATAAACTTAATTTTGATGATTGAAACAGAATTCATATATATATATATATATGACAGCATTTCACTCGTTGCCCAGGCTGGAGTGCAATGGCACAATCTTGGCTCACCACAATCTCTGCCTCCTGGGTTTCTCCTGCCTCAGCCTTCCGAGTAGCTGGGATTACAGGCATGCGCCACCACTCTCCTCTAATTTTGTATTTTTAGTAGAGATGGGGTTTCTCCACGTGGGTAAGGCTGGTCTTGAACTCCTGATTTGGGTAATCCGCCCGCTTCAGTCTCCCAAACTGCTGGGATTATAGGTGGGAGCCACCATGCCCAGCTTTTATCAAATATATTAAGAAGGGGTTGTTTAGATTTCTTTGATGAACTTGCAACAATAATAGAATTCCTGAAGTAGGATTAAGTTCACGAGATTTTTTTTATTTTTGGCTAACTGGACCCACCAGCCTTTGGTTGTCCTGACTCACTGGCTGCTCCTTTGTAGGACTGTTTGCTGGTACCTCGTCCTCTGCTCTATCTCCAGATGATAGGATGTTCCAAAACTCAATGCTCGTCCCTCTTCACGGTTCCATCTCAGCCTATGGCTTCAATATCTATATGGTTTCCCCATTTGTGACTCCAAGTTTCACCTAACTCCTGAATTCCAGGTTCTTAGAAGCTACAGTGTATCTGACACATCCTCTTGGCTGTCTAATATACATCTCAAACTTCACATGCCTAAAACTGGACTCGTGTATCCCCACCCTCAAAGCTGCATCACACCTCCATAATTGCTACCACCATTCACCTAGATGCACAATCAGGACAGCATCCCTAATTCCTCTTTTCCCCTTATGCCCCTATCCAATCTACCAACAATTTCGCTTAACTCTACTGCCAACCTACACCCTCCATTTGTGTATCTTTCTCCAACCCCACAGGTACTATCCTAATCTAAGCCGCCGTTCTCTTTCACCTGGACTACTGCAGTAGCCTCCATCTGATAGCTCCGCTTAAATGCTTATACAGCCCAAATCCTTCTACACACAGGAGCTAGAGTGATCTTTTGAAAATATAAATGGGGACATGGCATTTCCTTATTTAAAGCCCTTCAATGACTTTCCATTAAAACTCAGAAGAAATTCCAAACACCTCACCTTGACCTAGGCTTGCCCCTGATTATGTCTTCTATACAATCTAATCCCCTTTACTCACACACTTTATCCATGTTTCTCTTCTCCATGGAATCTCTCTCTCCCTAGAACCTCTGCTAAGAATGCTTTTCCCATAGAATTGTATGTCCTTGGCTCCTTTTGATACTCAAGTCTGAGATTAGATCTCATCTTCTAAGAGAAGCCTAATGCTTTTCTCAATTCTGTTTCTATCATTGAACTTATCACTACTTCGTGATTTCTTATTTATTTACTTGTTTGTTATCATCTCCCTGAAACTATATCATAAGCTTATGTGAGCAGAGACCTTGTCTTCTGAGCCCCCCGCCCCCGCCCAGGCAGCGATGCTCAGTAACTATTAAATAAATGACAGAATCAATAAACATCCTACCAGGAGCCCTGATCTGTTCTGGGGTACCTGGAAAGACTTTCGTAAAGAAGTGTCTGAGTGGAATTCTGAATGATGTATTGTAATCAATGGGAAGAATTCAGGGAGGAAAACAGGAGAGAAAAGCGTTCTAGAAAGAAGAAAAAATAGGTGCAAAACCTTGGAGTTAAAAGGAGAAACGTGCATTGGTTACATCTTCATGGTAAGAAGGTACCATGTTTGGAGTGCAAGAAGGCAGGTGGCATACTATTTGCTCTCTAAAAATATACCTTTGGCTGCCATGTAAAAAAGAGGCTTGGGTGGAAGTCAATGTGGCTATTCTTCTGCCATTAGATGGCTGCTGCAGTGATCTAGAGGAAAGATCATAGTAATTTGGACTAAATTAGTGGTGAAGGGGATGAAGAAATTAAAACAGATTCCAGAGACACTTAGGAGATAAAATAAAATAGTGGTGTTTAATTAGATAAAAGTAGAATGATGAAGATGGAGAGAGATGGAGATGCTAGGCTTGCAGCACAGGTTTTCAACTTGGATGGAGAGGGGCACCATTCCTGGAGCCAGAGAACATGAAAGAGAATTGGAATGACAGAAAGCATCACCAGGTTGGTTTTCTGCATGTTTGGTTTGACTGTCTTTAAGGTAGCCAATTGGAGATGTAGAGGCAGACAGTTTGATTCATCAGTAGAAGCTCAAAGAAAAGGTATGGTGGGAAGGAGCTATAAATTCAGGAACATGATGTATAGCCTATGAACACTTTGATAACAAAACCAATTTGTATTATTTATATTTTCTATAAAGTTCAACACACAAATATAAGCTACCATAACCACTGCAAATAGTAAATACGTATGAAAGCAAATGATATAGATCATTTTAAAGAAGGAAAATAAATATTCATCGGGAAAGTATCTTATTTTAAACATAGTTTTTAAAAAGTGAATGATAGGAAGATCATATATTTAAACATTTTTATTTTTTGAGAGTCTTGCTCCGTTGCCCAAGCAGGAGTGCGATATAATTTTGGCTCACTGCAACCTCCACCTTCTGGGTTCAAACGATTCTCATACCTCAGCCTCCCTAGTAGCTAGGACCATAGGCACACACCACCACGCCCGACTAACTTTTTGTGTTTTTAGTAGAGACAGGGGTTTCATCACATTGACCAGGCTGATCTCGAACTCCTGATCTCAAGTGATTCACCTGCCTAGGTCCCTCAAAGTGCTGAGACTACAAGCATGAGCCACCGTGCACAGTCTATTTTAAATTTTCTGTGAACATTTTTTTCTGCCAACATTTGAAATTGGTTTAAAAAAATGCCATGTGAAAAACTTCCCTAAAGCCAGGTGTGGGGGCTCATGCTTGTAATCCCAGCATTTTGGGAGGCTGTGGTGGGCAGATCACTTGAGGTCAGGAGTTCAAGACCAGCCTGTCCAACATGGTGAAACTCTATCTCCACTAAAAGTACAAAAATGAGTGGGGCACAATGGTGCATGCCTGTTGTCTCAGCTACTTAGGAGGCTGAGGCAAGAGAATCACTTGAACCCAAGAGGTGGAGGTTGCAGTGAGCTGAGATTGCGCCACTGCACTCCAGCCTGGGCAACACAGCAAGACTCCTTCATAAAAAAAAAATTCCCCCAAGGACTACTTTATTTATGAGAAAGTTTACTAGAGTATCAAAATTAGCTTAGTAATGAGAAAAATATATGCTAAATAAAAATATTGGCTATAATCTATCACAACTGTCTCTGGGTTGAAGAATCATAGTGAAAGAGTACGTTTTCCTTACTTCCAAAGCAGTGCAAAAAGTAGTAATTGTCCACCTTGCAATTCTGACTAATCCTCCATGTTACTCAAAACACAGCAATTGATTACAGTAGGAGAGTAAGAGTACATGAGCTTATTGTGCTTGAATTTGAATTGAGGCAGAACCTGAGTGAGAGTTTCATGAACATGAGCTACAATATTATTTTCCGAGGATTGCCACACAAAATACCACAAACTGGATGGCTTAAAATATAAGAAATGTATTCTCTCTCAGGTCTGGAGTGTAGAAGACCAACATCAAGGTGGTGGCAGGGCCACACTCCCCCGAGATCCTCTAAGGGAGGATCATTCCTTACCTCTTATACCCCCAGGCATTCCTTGGCTTGTGGCAGCATAACTGCAGTCTGTACGCATCATCACATGGCCGTCTTCCCTCTGTGTCTATGTGTCTTTGTGTCGTCATATGGCATTTTCCTCCCTATGTTTCTGTTTCCTCTTTTTATAAGGATGCCAGTCATATTGGATTAGGGCCCACCCTAACCAAGTATGACCTCATCTTAATTTATTACATCTGCAAAGTCCCTGTTTCCAAACAAATTCACATTCACAGACACCAGGGTTTAAAACTTCAATACTTCTTTGGGTGGGTGGCAAAAATTCAACCTATAACATGAACCATGGATGCTAATGGAAATATGTGTGTGAAGTTACAAGTGTGGTCTGAGTGTATGAGTGTGTGTGAGTTTTTGTGTGAGTGTATGTGCACCTAGCAAAGAATTATAACCAAGTAACCAATTCGTTGATCTCTAATCTGCTTCCAGTTTCTTGCTTTCAGTGGTTGCTTGGCTAGCTTTTATGCTGTCCCATGACTCCGTTCACCATGAGTAATGGATCATTTCCGGGCCCTCACTCCCACTTTTAATGAATACCAATGCTAATTAACTGACAGTAACATGTAGCTGCTCTTGGCTGTATGCATTTCTCACTGAGGTCATAATGGCTGTTGGTAATGTAATTTATTACTGTGTAAGACACACTCTGGGACTCTCCATGTGAAGACCATTTTTGCAAGTGCCAAAGGATTGCAAAGCAGGCCTTTCTTGGTAAGGTAATATGTTCCATAGCTTCTGGGCCTTGGCATAATGACACATCAAAGTCACTGTGGTTCTACAGGAATCCTGTAAAGATTTCCAACCACACAGTACCATCTGCTGGGAAGGACAGAAGACCAGTTTGAAAAAGGACTACTGTTTAGATCCTGGAATCAGAAATAGCAACAGAATGTCGTAAATTATCAGAACACCACATATCATCGTTATTATTGTTGTTTGCCTTAGAATTGTTTTGAGAGTGACAAAATTGCCTCTCAAGGAGAAAAAACAACATCAAAGCAATATCAAGAATTTCTGTTTAGGGGAATAGTGGGCACCCAAGCCCTTATATGTCCTACAGCAAGGTCACTCGAGTCTGCTTGAGGACCCAACTCTGTACTCCCCGTGAACTCTACCAAATTAGCTTTACATAATGCAGCCATCTTGCTTCTCTAGAGGATCAAAGTAGCTGGACCCAGGCCCAGTGTTCTGCTGATAACCAGTCACAGGATATGTTTGCACCCTGTTCTGCTCCTAGTACACCATGCTGCGGATTCCTCTGCATTTCCCAGTTTATACCCATGCAGGGACCGTGGGTTCACATATTTCCTTCTATTATCTGCACTAATCTGGTGACCTGAGATCATTTATGTACCCTACACTCTTGTTACAACGATCTGGAACTATGTAACTATTTTTTTTTCATGTATGGGGCTACTGTTTCCAACCAAGTCCTTTTATCCTTCCTATAATAACTTTTGTAATAGTAACAGCACCTCCTTGTAACACTTAAAATGCTTGTCTCACAAGGGCAGCCTGACAAGGGAAAGTATGTCAATATGATTTTTAAATGACAGCTGAATAGTGAAAAATCACAAGACTATCTAGTCAAAGTAGTAACTAACAATAACAGGGAGAAAGATATATTACCACAAAAATAAAGAATTGGAGAGAATAATGTGAGTTAGAGTGAATTTTAGCTGCTCAACAATGGGTGTCATTGGTTGATATGCCACACGTGGCACACCGTATAAATACATAGTAAATGTGACCATAAAATATTGAAACTGACTTTTAAAAGATGCCAGAACTTAAATATCCTAATTATTTTCCTCAACTATGAAATCGTGTGGCTTTTCCAATGCTACTACATTTATCTAAAATCCTTGTGAAACTGCTCTTTTAGAGACATGGTTCAATTGAGTTTGTAAAAACTAAGAACAAAAAGCGGACTCATTACATCTTAAATTTGTCATCAAAGTGTTTAATCATCTTGATTATTCATCATATTCAGAAAGTTGGTTCCAAGTAACCTTGAAAAATCAAGACAGGCCTTTTTGAATGAACATTTACTATCACATTTTTAACTTTGTCAGATATTCTTAATAACAAAAGTGATATGTGCTCAATACAAGTCAAAGAAATGTATAAAGAAAAAATAATAATCTCCATTCTCTCTTTCCTCTTTCTAATCTTACTCTACTCAGCTAATACAATATCCATGCTAAAGAATAATAAACAGCTATCTGTATTAACCTGGAGGGATGTCAAGATATGTTTTAAATAAGAAAGAAAGAATGATTTATAGTCAGCACTTCATATCTACAGGTTCCACATCTGAGGATTCAACCAATCACGAATTAAGAGTATTTAGAGAAAAAAAACCCAATAAACATGGCAATACCACAATAAAAATAACATAAATAAGAAAAGCAATATACTGCAACAACTATTTATAGCATTTACATTGCATTAGGTATTATAAGTAAACTAGAGATGATTTAAAGTATATTGGAAGATGTGTACAGCTTATATGAAAATACTATGCCATTTTATATCAGGGACTTGAGTACTGCAGATTTTGGTGTCCCATAAGTCCTGAAACCAATACCCTGCAGATACCTAAGAATGACTATACACAGTATGACTCCATGTTTTAAAAAAATTGTATCTATACATGTATAGCTCTGTAGTATGGGTATAACAAATTTTATTCAAACACTGCCCTGTAGATGGACAGTCAGGATATTGCAATTTATTGCCTCTGCAAGAAATGCTGCCAGAGACCTCCTTAATCATGATCCCTTATGCCTAGGTGCCTTTATTTCTGTAGAAGAGATTCCCTGAGGTAGAATTTTTGGGTCAAAATATACATATCATTATTCCTAGGAGAGGAAAAATGCATAGAATTAATCAAGCATTACTGAAATTTAATTAATAGAAAAATGGAAAGCCCAACCGTGTTTCCCTGTGCCCATAACCAGAGAACACCAGTCAGATAATTTGTGTCTCCAGCCATTCAGGGGAGAGATAATACTCTGTATACTTTACAAAATTAGAAAAGCCAATTTTCATTACTGGAGAAAGGTTCTAGTGAGCCTCATAAAGTATACATACTGAGTGCTTCCTCTCTGCCAGGAATAGTCATAAGCATAAGAGACATAGAAAAGGATAAACTGGTCCCTGGTCCCAAGGAGGTGAGAGTCTGATAGGGGAGACAGATCAGTAATCACATTTACAGTACACGGTGAGAAGAGCTAGGACAGAGACATGTACACGTTGCACTGGAAACCCAGATATGGGTCACCCACAGTTCTTAAGATTGTCTAAAACACATGCAGAATCACCACATGCAGCCAAGGAGGCACCTAAAGCTGAATATACAGTTTGCTAAACAGCTCAGTGATTAAGTCCTTAAATCAATGATTAAGTCAAATGGCAAGAGACAGGCCAATAAATGATCTAATAGCAAGTTAAAGCTTTACAAGTTTATATTAAATTCTTTATTTTGAGAGGACTAAAGACAAACTTACGTATATTTATAGTGCAACTTTATAATTCTTATATTGGGAATAGAAACAAACACAAATTTCCAACTTGTAAAATCATTTTATTAAATAAAATTCTTTTTTGACCCCCAGTATATCTACATCCATGTAATAATAAGACATTATATAATGGGGTTTGACTATATTTTGACAATCTTAGTAAACAAAAGTCATTGAAAATACAACTCTTACTGTACAATTTGGTTTCCGTTGACAGGAGCGAGTTTCCACATGACACAACAATTACTGTTTATTTCAGCTTTAAATATGAGCTATAAAAAGAATCCAGGGAATATATTTTTAAATTGGTGATGGATGATGCGTTGGCTTCAAGAACATCTGCACAATCTACTTGAAAGGAAATGGTAAGTGATGTAGGTGTAAAGAAGCACTTCATAAAACATTTCCATCGATGCTAATTTTATTTTCTTTCTTTATTTTTTCGAGACAGGGTCACTCTGTCGCCAGGCTGGAGCTCAGTGGCACAATCTCTGTTCACTGCAACCTCCACCTCCCAGGTTCAAGCGATTCTCCTGCCTCAGCCTCGAGGCTAGCTGGGACTACAGTGTGCCACCACATCCTGCTAATTTTTGTATTTTTAGAAGAAACGTAGTTTTACCATGTTGGCCAGGATGGTCTCAATCTCTTGACCTTGTGATCCCCTCGCCTTGGCCTCCCAAAGTGCTGGCATTACACGTGTGAGCCACCACACCTGGCCCATCAATGCTTATTTTTAATCTAAAAATATATAGTCTATAAAAGCAAAATTTTAACACTAGAGCTTCCCTCTGGAAAAATCTGATTGTCTCAGTCCCCCTGCCTATGCCCAACAGAGGGGAGGTATTTGCTGGTTGCATTTGTTTCTATAACATAAATAATTCTTAAATAGTTTGCTTAAGTAAAATATTTTATACTTTCATTTAGCACCTTCCCACAAAGGAATTAAAAATAAGACTTTCCCCCTCCCCAGGTCATTTTGCAAAAACTACAGTATATCATCCTGTAGCACTTACCTACACACCACTCTCCCTTCCTTCTCTCCTTCCTTCCTTGCTTCCTCTCTTCCTTCAACAGTATCAACCAGTAACAATTGAATGCTTATCATGGTGCTATCTACACAGATTCCAAAAGCAACCTATTCCACTAAAGGGTTTTATAACACAGTGTAGTATTAGATTGTAAATATACATGATTACATTTAGAAGAGTTGAACACTTCTGGTTCAGTGTTGTTTAATACTTGCATCAGTAACATGAATGATTGAATAGAAGTCTAGTTTCCTATGGACCAAAACTGTTCTTCTGCCTTTAATGATAAGTTCTGAATCCCAAAGATCATAGTAAATTGGAAATGTAGTCAGATGAAAATAGATTAAAATCAATGAGAAAAACTCCCTGCTAATTTAGAAGTAGGAAAACTACACTATTCAAATGAAATTATTGAGACAAACTTTTTATGTGAAAGAATGTCAGAAAAGTATCCCTTGCAGTGAATACAAAATGATTATTATAGTCATGTGGAATAGTCACTTTTTCAGGGTGAGCCTCATAGTTTGTAGGAGCCCTGAGGTAGTTCTTGCTTGACAGTCACACACAATATTACCAAAGCAGGCTAATCAGTTGGGATATACTAACTCAGAGAAACATTGATGAGCTTATAGAAGATTCACAGATACATCTATATTTGTAAAATAAATATTATTAAGTTTCTTAATAAGGCTGTTAACCAGCCCCTGAGTATATTCACAGCATGACTCCACAGCAGCCATTCTCTATCCCCACTGAGGATGGACAAGCAGGTAAAGGAAGCAGACGAGGAATGAAAGCTGCCTCTGTGGTTTGAGAATAAACCAATTTCTCATCTTTCTGAAATGTTTGCATAGCCCTTCCTAGAAATAGAAAGGAGCAAAAATCAAAACACTGACTTTAAAGCTAATTAATAAGCAAGCAGCTTGTCACGAACTGTGAAGGCATAGCCGTATTTCTTCCATCTTTTGATTAGAGAAAATGTATAGATATGGATTACTTATATATAACTGAGGCTTATAATATATCTGAGGGAGAGCTTTATGTTTTATTCATTCTTTTGTTTTATAATCTTCCTTCCCTCACAATGAGTTTTAAACACTTTTCAGAAACTCTGGGTAGATGGTATTGAGAGAGGCATAGTTTTAAAATATTCTTGAGTCTTCTCATAAAGCACAGGCAGAGCAAATATGAGAACAAAAGTATAATCCTTTGGGCAATGTGTGCAGCAAACTAGGTGACAAGGTATCCCCTACACACCCCTATATACTGGTAGACGAAGCACACACAGCTGCAAGACTGATGTGAGGTCATCCTCAGTGAAGGAAGAAGTAAGGTTAACAGGGCATCTGCATCCCTGAGAATAAGAGAACCCAATGAAGACTCCCTGATGGCCCCATGCCAGCTGAGAGAGTGGCTCGGGTTACTTTTATTTCACCAAAGCTCTCTTCCAGGACAAAATCCCACAATAGGGAGAAACTGCTAGGAAAGAATCCAAATTGCACAGGATGTGACAAAAGGAACAGAAGAAAGAGAAGGTTCAGATACGTGTCGTGAAAACAACAGAAAAGGGCACATTAGAGGCCTCAAACTAGAAAAGCTACCCTAACTACCGCCCCACTGGAAATGTTGGAAAATTCATTCTCCTTAAAAATTAGCATCCAAAAAATATGAGAGTTGAACTTATACAAAGATATTACATGAGACAGAGAGAGGCAAAACATCTATACAAACAAGTAAAATGAGTCAAAAGGCATACCTACAAAAGATAAAAAGTGTAACATGATATTTAGCAGCCATTAAGTGAAACACAGGAAATGATAGAAGCTAATAAAGAATAACAAATCAGAATTAAGAAAAACTAAAAAATGAGATAACTGGAGAAAATGAAAATTTGAAAAGAAAGGTGGCAGAATTTATAAAAGATTTTTAAAGTAAAAATAATGTCATAATGTAAGACTAAACTAGAAGGGATACAAGAACAAGTAAATACAATCAGTAATACCATTACGAATTAGGTGACTCAACAAAATAGATATAGAAGGGAACAACCTCAACCTGATGAAAGGCATCTATCAAGAACTCAGAGCTAACCATACCTAATGGTGAAAGACTGAATGGCTTTCCCCTAAAATAAGAAATAAGACAAGGATATCTGTCTGCTCTTACCACTTCTATTTAACATTGTACTGAAAGGTCTAGCTGGGCAGTTAGGCAAGTGAATAGACTAAAATGTATTCAGATTGGACGTGAAAAAATAAAACTATCTCTATTTGAAGATGTCATAATCTTGTATACAGAAAATCTTAAGGAATCCACTAAAATAAAGCATGACAGAAATAATATGTGAGCTTAGCAAAGCTGTATGTTACCAGTAAGTATACAAAAATCAATGATATTTCTATAGAGTTGCAATTAACAATGTAAAAATGAAATTAACAAAGCAATCTCATTTATAATACCATCAAAAGAATAAAATGCTCCCCATCAAAATCCAAACGACATTTTTTACAGAAATAGAAAAAAAAATCCTAAAATTCATATGGAAACACAAAGACCTTGGATAGCCAACACAATCTTTAAAAAGATGAATAATGCTAGAGACATCACACTTTCTGATTTCAAAATAGATTACAAAGCTACAGTAATTAAATCAGTATGATACTAGTATAAAGACAAACAAGTAGATCAATAGAACCAAATAGCCCAGAAATAAACCATGTATATGTAGTCAACTGGTCTTTGACAAAAGTGCAAAGAATGTATAATAAGGAAAAGATAGTCTCTTCAACAAACAGTGCTGGGAAAACTGAATATCCGCATTAAAAAAAAAAATTAAACCCTTATACTATACACAAAAATCAACTCAAAATGGATTAAAGACTTAAATATAAGACCAGGAAAGATAAAACTACTAAAACAAAACATAAGAAAAGTTTCTTAACACTGGTCTTGGCAATAATTTCTTGGATATGACACCAAAAGCACAGGCAACAAAAGCAAAAATAGATACTCAGGACTACAGCAAAATTAAAAGCTTTAGCAGAGCAAAGGAAACAATCAACAGAATGTAAAGGGAATCTATAAAATAGAAGAAAATATTTACAAATCATATATCCGATAAGGGGTTAACACCCTACATATATAAGGTACTATGACAACACATCAGTTAAAAAAAAAATCCAACTTAAAAATGTCTAGTAGACATTTTTCCAAAGACATACAAATGGCCAACATGTATGTGGAAAAATGCTTAATATCACTATCATCAAGGAAATGCAAGCCAAAACCACAATGAGATATCACCTCACACCTGTTAGGATGGCTATTATCCAAAAAACACAAGACAACAGTGTTGGTGAGGATGTGGAGAGATTTAAACCCTGTGAACTATTGGTGGGAATGCAAAATAACCATCATGGAAAACAGTATGACGGTTCCTCAATAATATAAAAATAGAACTACCATATGATCCAACAATCCCACTTCTGGGTATACATCCATAAGAAATGAAGTTCAGATGTTAAAGAGATATCTGCACTCCCATGTTCACTTGCAACACTATTTACAATATTAGATGTAGGATGTAGAAATAACCTAATGTTCATTGATGGATAAAAGGGTAAGGAAAGTGTAGTAGATGCATGTAAAGGAACAATATTCAGCATTAAAAAAGAAGGAAATGCTGAAATATATGACAACATGGATAAACCTGGAAGACATTATACTAAGTGAAGTAAGTCACAGAAGGACAAATACTACATGACCTCACTTACATAAGGCATCTAACATAATGAAACTCACAGAAGCAGAGAGTAGAACAGTGGTTGCCAGAGGCCGAGGGGAGAAGTGGAGAGTTGCTAATCAATGGCTATAGAGTTTCAGTTTTGCAAGATGAACAAGTTCTAGAGAGCTGCAGTGCAACATAGTGCCTATAGTTAATAATACCATGTTTTATACTTAGAAATCTATTAAAAGGGTAGATCTGGTAAGTGTTCTTATCACAATAAAACAGAACTTTTTTAGGTTGTGATATTAGCAAATATTTTGGGCTTGAAGATCTAATTTGAACTCATTAGACACTGCTTTCAGTATTTTGCAAGAATATTAATAAATAAATATCTGCAAAAAATATATACGTTTCCTAATTTTGCCTAATTGCAAAGGTCTATATTAAAAAAAATAAAAAAAAACTTAAACCAGTGTCAATAAGCTTTCTCAGAGTTTTAACTGAGATCTCTAAATAC